GAACATGGGTAAAAAGGGCACTACAGCGGGCCTACTGGCCATTGCTACCCAAGGTCAAGCCCCTTTGGGCCCAAGCTACAGCCGAAACAATCGGGCCAAGCACATCCATTTAAAAAGGGATGGAGCACGTATCAACCACTCACAAGCCAGTCGGGTCCAACTCGCCCCCACTAAAGTTTGTCTAACCTGTTTTTTAAAACTCAAACGTGTCGGTGATGTCTTGTTTTATTTCCACTGAGATCATTTAATATTTTTCCCCGGATGCCCCCCACACCGGTCGACTAATACCCTAGTCCGTTTACGCTAGTAAACGGGGGCATCAATATAGGGAAACATGTGTAGTGTCTCTTTCCCACAGATCCCTGATGGGGCACTCATGCAAAAATGTCTTACTTTTTTGAGAGTTTGTGTTTTTTTGTTCGGCAATACTTCTTGCATCTGCTGATTCATTTGACCTGGGGCTGATAACAAAGAAACAAAATAAATCCACTTGGATTATTCCACTGGCCTTTTGATGTTCTTTCCCATATCAAAAATTTGGGTATTTATAAAAATTTTTCTACACACATTCCTCTTTAAAATGGAGCATTTTAAAATACTGAAACAATAAAAAAAGTGGAGAGGTAATTTTAAAAGTTATTAGTCCTTAAAAAAGTCTAAGGAAAACCGTAAGATTTGAATTTGCAAACTGTGGGCCAAACATTAAGGTTTGCTTTTTCCACTGGTACACAGGGTATATAAGCTGTTTTTAAAGAGGAATTAAAATTTTAATATTTCTCTGGGAAGGACATAAAAAAACCCCCTTTCAGTAAGACATTAACAGCTCTGAGGCGGCTTACCAGAGTTCTGGTTATCAATTTCATTGTAGATTTTCTTTTTGCATGTAATGCAAGCAAGCAAATTTCCCCGTCGCCCAAAAATTAACTTTGAGTTATTTGCAGCAAACTGCAAACCCTCGTTACAGTAACCTTTGTGTGGTGAATATTTGAGGTTCTTGCTGATTCTTTAGTTTGGTCACAACCATTATAGCACTGTATTTTATAAGATCATGGAATCTTTGGATAATTATACTAAAGCATTTCTATAACCTGCCCACGTTCTTCATTACAGAGAGGAATGAAGCCTGCCAGCCTCCAGCTGGCAGAAAGAGCTCATATCATTGCTCTCTTTCACAAGTATGTGAGCCCCAAGCATCAGCGTGAATACCGGGACAATCGCAGGGGTAAAATATTAATGAAGATGAGACGAAAACTCGAGAAGAAATCAAGTGAAGAAGATTGGCAGAAGTAGGTTGAAACATACTTTTTTCTTTATTAAAACATTAACTATCTCTGTTATAAGGATATCTTGATTGTGATGAAGAGTAAAAATCACAATACAATACAATACCATGACTGGAACGGTTCAAAACTAACCAACAAATTCTAGCATTTCATTTTTTTTTTTTAAACTGATACACATCAAATTATACATAAAAAAATCTACTATATTTCCTACATCTGAAATGTGTTATACTATCCTCCAAATGAGACCTTGAGCTCTTCATCCACTTTGGCTGCCATAAAGTCTCAATGAAAAACCAGGAAACCTTTCCAACCCACAGGCACAACACTCTCACGGGACCCCCCCCCCCCCAAGGAGGCAGGCCCGTTGTGACCCCCTGACTCCTACATCTATGAAAACTCCTTCAGTCACTCATTATCAGTCACAGTTTACGAGTATTCCCAACGTTAGCATTCTATACCCTCTGAGAAAGCCTTATCCCACCTCCTCCTACAAATCTCTGTTACTACACATCGTTCGATAGAATTATACCGCAAGAACCTTTTCTTCTCTCCTCAACTATCCCCTCTTACCTTCTTCACCCACGACATATATATTATAATCTACCATGATTTAATCCAATGCTCTTAGACACCCTGTCTAACCCACCCGTATCGAGTCTAAAAGCACGTAGAACCGACCACCCAACGGCCCCTCCAACCTCTGTACCAACTACTTAACCAGCACCTAACCTCCTCTAGCCCTTCACAAAAGTAAAAAACTAAATGGAATGCAGTCTCATTCCCTCGACAGATGCCCACACCCCCCACCCTCTACAACCTGTCTGTTTCGTAGTATCTCACCAGACGGAGGATCCCATGCAGGAATCGAATCACTCACCTCACGCGCCCGTGGGTGTTTAACTTCATTTGTCTAAATCTAAAACAAAATACTCTTCCTGCATACATGGGAAACAAACCCTCAACTGGGCTAACGCCACTACCTACCAAGTACCTAACACAAAACCCTTATCCGACCTTTCTCAGTTCCTTATTCCAACATCACAGCCCTCAAAAACGATTTGCATTCCTTCAACGCCATCTCGATACCACACACCAGCCTGTCGTGTATCATTCCCAACTGCCCCGCGTTCACACCCTCACGCAACACTTCCCATTTAATAAAAAACACACATTTAGCCCTCAGTCTCAAATCCAATCAACCCAACCCACCCTGACTTACAGGTAACATTACAACTTCCCTCCGTAACCAATCACAACGTGAACCCACAAATTTGTACCACCCGGTCTTAGAATTCCCAAATCGCTGTCCCTGTAATTGGGAACCAGCTGCAACATGGCCAAATCTTACTATACTAATAAAATGTTTACGACTATCACTCGCTGTATAAGGTTAGGTTGCTGGGGTCTCAGAACCACCTAGACGCCCACGATCCTTTCCTATAAAACTATCCGAGGTTTTCCTCCCGCGCCGCAACCATGTTCATCCTTATAAATAATACCACAAATCTTTAAAGGAACATTGCCCATTCTTTAACAACTTACATCTCCCACCCACACCCCCCACCCAAGGAACCCAGCCACATGCACCTGGACTTAGCCCCAACTACTTTACCTGCATACCCGTGGCACTTCCAAATAATTGCACAACCTTTCGTCCAACACTCCTTGGCATCCCTGCACGAATGAGCACAGTGGTGTCGTCAACATATCCAAATTATAACCCGGCCTGGCCCTCCCACCCCCACATTTCCCTCACATGGCGGTACTTAAGCTGCGGTCTTACCATTCTATATAAAGGGGTCCTGGAAACATGCAAACAATATTTGGGACATGGGGGCATCCCGGTCTAAGGGCCTCTACCCATTGCAATATCCCTCCCATACACCCATTAATCTGTTTCTCATTTTCGCCCTTGTATAGCTTATTTACCCACTCGTCCTATTTTCTCCCTCAACTTGTCTCCTAAGTATAACTGCAAAGCTCCCTTTCCACTCTATCATATGCTCCCTGCCATTTCTAGAGCCAACCATAGCCGCCCCTTCACCCCCACCCTTAGCTTCCACAAAACTTCTCAGTATCCCATGTCCTTCAATCATCGACCTTCCGCACCCAAACTGAGATTTGAAAAACACGACCCTTCACACAAACACATTTTGACCTATACCTTAAATTTTTGCGACACCTTTAGTCTGCAAACAAGCAGGGATATGGCCGGTACTCCCGAAGGGTGGGCTGCCCCTTGACCTCGGGGACCAATACTACAACTGCTGTTACCTGCTTCTCACCCAACATACCCTTCTCCTTCATACGATTAAATACCTAACATAAATCCCTTAGTAACGTCCAATGTTGTAAATAAAATTCTACTGGGAGACCGTCAATACCGGCGCTTGCTCCCTTCCTCATTCACTTAACGCATTCTCTATTTTCCTCTGCCGTTATAGTCCCACCCTAAAGCCTTTCTATCACTATGTCCTAAATTACACGTCACATAGACACACCTTGTCCAACGCCACGTCACCCTCCCCCCCAACTGTCCAGTACTTCTCTTTCCAAGCCTCCGCATAGCACAATCCCCTTCGTGGTTCGTATCTCCTGGCCTGCTCGTTTATTCCCAACCATCTCTGTTACCTCTAAACATGGGATAGCTGGCACCGCCTGCTTTGCTTTGATGCCGCAAACCCACCACACTGACGGCTTGTCGCCCCAAAGCACCTTTCCACCCCTGCCTGCACCCTTTACAGTTGCAACCCCCAACCCCCCCCCCTTTCATGTTGCATACCCCTCATACCTCCCTTTATTTCAGCTATTTTCATCATAGGAAATTTATTCCACCTGACACCCTCCCTTAGCAACTCTTTAACCTATCCTCTAAAATAGTTTGCCAGGCCTTATTTTAAATTTATTAATTGGTTTCCTTCTCTCACATAAAACTTTCGATCCTTTCCTTTGCAACACTAACCCACCATGTCACAATGTATGTCCACTCCCTGTCTTCACGCTAAGCTCCCTCCATAGACTGAAAACCCCTCCAACCATCCTCATCATAATACACTGATATTTAATTTCCAATAACTTCTATATATTGTCTGCGAGGTCCCCCACCCATACCTCCACCCTCCACTTGCCCTTGATCTGAGCATTGGAGCCTCCACAGTACTGAAAGATTTCACATCCACTCCTGAGATAAAGGTACACTCTATCTAGTCTCGCAGCATATCCACTCCTAACAAAAGATATATTCAGTCTCCCACACCGCCCCCTGAAGGCATCACGTACCTAACATCCCTTAATAATCCCTAAGAGCCACAGACATATATTCAGCCCCTTTTGGTCCACGTCAGCCCACCCCTGAGTTACAACTATTCCAAATCCCCACCAACCACTTGCTACCTCTTGCAGTGCACTTAAGAAAAAACACAAGATCCCACACACACAAAATCATTCTTTACCTTGATGTTATTTTTCTGCCGGCGCATAACACTCACAAAAGACACACAGCTTACCATCCACCATCATCCACGCGCAACACCCTTCCCTCCCCTCCTTCCCTCGCTTCTCTGCAAATAACAAACGGGCTGTCTCCCTTTATTAAAATTCCCACACCACTTTTTAAGAAGGGGAGCATGGCAGGGTGTAATCATAGTCGAATTCCGCCACCTCCAAAACCCTACCCCTCTTCAATAATGTGCTCCTGCAGGAACACAACATCCACTTCTGATTTGTTCAGGAAATTACGAAACCAATCTCTCTTCATACCGCTAACATAACCTTAACATTTACAGGGGGACATACACCTAAAGGCCTATTAAAGTTTCCACCCCTGCTTCCTCTCTCACTCTTTACAATCCAGAGCTTGAATTTAAGTTTGACACCTTAGAGTGCTCTCTTTCCTCCCCCCCTTCTTCCGGTGCCTCCTATCATGGCTACCACCACCTACACCACTACTTCACACTTCACCTCAGTTGTTTCCAGGCCTTTGTGCAGGCGTAAGGACGTCATCAGAATTCTGACGTAGGCGCCCTCTTTCTCTGGGACCGTCATGTTGCACATATCTTGATCCAGATGTTGCCTCTCGATGAACCTCCACCCTCTACCTGAGAATGGTTTAATGATTCAACGGATGACTCCAAAACCCCTTCACATCCCAAATTATCATGTCTCCGACTGTTCTGGAAGCGACGGCTTCCGAGGGACACCACGCCCAGATGTAACCATCCTTCTCTGGTGGTGACAAAGTCTTAACACCTCAACCAATTCTTCACTCAATCTCGGAAACTTTCTCCTGTAATTGCTGCCTCCTCCTTATCCACAGAGACGTTACCTGATCAGGGCAGTGGGTGAGGGACTCAATCACCACAGTCCTGTGTGCCCGTTCCACTATCTCGCTCCACAAAACACCACGCCCTCTTATCCGATGTTGTTTTTCTCACCTGCCACCTTTGAAGCAGGGGCTGCGACAACCTCCACGGTCAGGCACACGTCTTCGCTTGTCACAGGTCGCCCTATGTGATCATACTCACCCCATAGGCGGCATGTAGTCGTTGTCCTGGGTACATTACCATTACCTGCGTCCTGAAATCTTGTAGATACACATATGACAGTTTGGGTGCCTCAATAACGTCATTTTGAGAGTTTGAAAGACCCTCTGGAAACCAGCATAGGCACCTGCTGCCCACGTACCATGTTGAGCATAATGCACGTCCCATATGTCTCGAAAAATTTCCTTATAATCCACCTCGTCCGCCTCAAAGCGGAACGTGGCGTAACTTATCCACGTATAATGCCGTGAAACATATATCAATCTTACCACTGACAGCTGGTGTGACACTAAGACTTTACGTCCTGAAACCTGGTGACTAACGATTCATAAACCGTAGCTGATAGCAGTTTGGACGAAATTCTTTGGCTTCTGTTTAATGCTCACCACCATACAAGTCACTATCTTGTACGCCATATGATCTCCGGATGATTTTGGCAATAAGACTTGGCAGAAACTA